CTAATATTACCACCGTTTTCTCAGGCTCCTGAACCCAAGCGCTGCAGATTTTGCACAATCAAGGGGAAAACAAGCCAAGAATCACTTTACCTTCCAATGGTTTATTTAATGGACCTTTCACTGAGGGAAGCCTGTTCTGCCCCGCAGGCCCCTCACTGCTCACACATCCCTCACTTAAAGTTCAACGCTTCCTCCCTCTCTGGCCTCAAAACTGCAGTTCTTCCATATCCCATCTCTCTATGCTTCCTCTGCATCAGAAGGGACACCAAAATTCACCTCCTCTCAGTCTTTTCTCTTGACTGTGCCAATATCCTCACAGCAAAAATGTTTAACAGCAGCACAGCTCAGTTATGGATGCGCTTACATAATCATATAGCTAAAAGTTGCCTGATTTATCCCTCTTGACCTTCTATAAATCATCACAGAAAATGACAAGACCAGGCCCAGGCACACTGCTATAGCACTCAGTACCGACCCTGACTGCAGCCCTCACTGCACAGATGATGACAACACGCTCGGTACCCTTACAGCTCTACGGCTGGCCTTCACACAACACAAGTAACATCAGAAATCCTGACTTGCAGTACTGGAAGCAATCTGGTTTTCAAATGAGGCTGTTTCAAAAACACTTGCAGGGATTTAAAGGAAATGGAAAAAATCTTTCCCCTCCAGCCCCCTCCAATCACCACTGTGAAAGTATCATAAGCAAAGCCATAAGCGCTCCACTCCCATTTTTAGGTCACCTCCAGCCACGGCCATGAAGGGAAATGTTTTTCTCACAATTACTGGCTCTTCATTTAAGAAAAAAAAATCACAATAAAAGATGCTTTGTCATCCATGACTGAGACACAGATGCTTAACTCAAAGGCAGCACCTTTACCCAACTATGCCTGGCTGTTAATTCCTAACTCCTAACACCACTTTTTAACCTAACACACGTAAGACAGGCATGTCACAACACTTAATAACCACTAGTGATGGCCCTGCCGGGCACAAGGCAACATACAATGCACCTCAAACATTAACAGTGCACCTTAAAAGTCTCGGTTGGCCCACACAGACTTCAGCACAACTGCAAATCTCTTCAGACACAGAGATGAGCAGAACTGGAGACCTACCTCAATAAGCTTAGTAACAATACACTAGTCAATGCCATGAAAAATAATTCAATTAATCACACTCCTACTAAGAAAAACGTCTTTTCTCCTCGCAGGGGCACACCCATACTAACACATGTAACAAACACCATGCTGCCATCTGTACAAAAGGCTCCACTTGCCTTGCATCAAAGTTTTGAGAAAAGAATGGCCACAGATTTGAGCTGCCTTTACCTAACAGGCATCCCTGTCTTGTTCTTCCTGCAGCCTCAGATGAAGGGGAGAGGCAGAAGGAAGATTACCATACACCATTTAACACATTCCCATTCAGCGAGAGCCCCGGTTGACAAGAAGCAGAGGATGGAAGATGTTGGAAGACGTTCATTCCCCTTCAGTGCCAAATGGAAATGAGCGTATGCAGCACAGGGGTTTACTTCTCCAGATTTCTTTAATATGTTTCTTTTTAGGAATGCTCCCCCCAGAACCATTAAACGTCAGTTTAAACAATGGGGTTGATAAACAGAAATAAGGAGTGCCTTAATGTGGAAGAAGAAAACCCACACCCTTCCCTTCAACTCCATGAGCAGTCACTCGAAAGAACAAGTGCTGGAGTCAGAAAGCATGAGATGAGTGGTGAAAGGCAGAATCCTTCATCAGAACTTCACCCAAGAATTAAGCAGGCTATAAACCCTCCACAGGATTAATTATTAGCACAGTGTGTGTGTGGAGCAGTGGGATCGCTGTTGTGTTGCATAGCAGAAGCCTGTCTTAAACTCTGAATAACACTATTTTGTCCATTCCTTAGACTCTGTAATGATCTGGTATTAATAATCTACCGTGTATTTTGCCTGGCTGAACTCATTTTTATAGGAAGATCAACAGAACCAACTCTGATGGGAAATAAAAAAAGGAACATCCTGCTGTAATCTCACAAACTGCACAGCACAGCAAAGCCACCCTGCAACCTCCATGGAGGAAGCCCTCACTGCAGGGTCTGAGCAGCTCCTCTGAAGGCACAGCAGTCCCACGCGATGGTAGGAGGTAAGCCTTTCAATTCCACCTCAGGAACACAATGGCTTGTCCACTCAAATAACTATTGCATCTGCCCTCAACGCCAGCAGTAAGGCGAGGAAAGAAAAGATAAAATAGGAACGACGCATTTATTTTTTTCAGTTACTCTTCCGGAACTGAATGAATAGAATCTGAACAGAAGACACCAGAACTCCATGTTATCATGGGCTGAGATTGTGACTTTTGTTCCACGTTAGCAATTAAAGAACACATCATTAAGTAGGCGAAAGAAAAGTTTTCAAATATAAGAAAGTGAGAACTGAAAGCCACTTTGTGCATTAATAAGTTGCACAGCTTTGATGTCAGCGCATGCTGCTCAAATTAACGCACAGCGCTGTTTCACTGAGGAAAAGTCAGTTGCAGTGCTGTGCCCGTGCCATCAGGCTGCTGCCATGGCAGAACAGGCCCTAAGCCCAACTTCTACAGAGACTGTTTAACGGTGTGGCCTTCAAAAATAAAAATCTTTAATTTAATGAGGTGAATGAAGTACAAAAATCTGTGTTTTCAGAAAAATGGCTCTTGGAAAGAACGCATTTAAGCTAAACTACAGGCAGCAGACATGCAAGGCGTAGCTATCCACAGGTACCACAAAGCCAACTACCTCCTACTGAGGCAGGACACACAGCTGACAGAGCAGTGCTCATCACAGCCTTACAGCCCTGCTGCCACAGAGCCAACAGGTGTGTGCTGCTGCCGGCCTCCAAAGCCACACTCAGCCCCAAACACACAGCGTGACCTCAAGGGGCCACCTGAGAAATCAGCTACCCCTCTGAACAGAGCCCCTCAAAGCTTTGCTGCACTCATCAACTTGTTTAAGGAAAACTGCATCACTTCCAACTTGAGCAGGGTTTCTGACCAAGACAGGTCTTCTGCCACAATGAGCCATTCTACTCCCCACAACTGCTTCAGCTTCCCATTCGGCCAAGTCCAACATGACTCAATGCTACAGAGCCATTTCCCCAGCTTCTGCAATTCACTGCTCACTTGTTTCTCTGTCCCATGTCCTCAGAGGAAAAAAACCCTCCGTGACATTACAGCAATCTAAGCCCAGGTATCTCAGCATGTGCAGAGCGCTCTATGGACTCCCTCATTTAAGGGTCCATTTACAGTGATCTAAAAACACACCTGACAACAGAGCAAAACAAACACACATACAATCGAAAGATGAACATATTTCTACCATAACTTCCAACCTACAAATGCCTCCTCACAAACAAAACACAGGAAACAGAACGCTGAGAAGGGCCCAGAGGAGCTGCACAGACAGCAGGAGGCTGCTGTGCACTGCAACGCTGCGATCCATCCCATCCCATCCCATCCCTCCCACCCAAGGATCCCTCCCTCTCACTGATGGAACTCCTCTACTACGACTGGTGGATGATGCCAACTGCATATTTAGAGCAGAATTAGGGAGGAAAAAACAACTAACGAGGGCACTGGGGTACTTGGCTTCCTAAATTCCAAACAGAATGCCCGCAAACACTACACTTATTTCCAGCTGGTCAGAACTATTATAATGCCTTCATATTGAGATTTTCCCTTTTCTCACTTCTGTCTCACTGGTGGAAGTGCAGAAGGCTGCTTTATAATTACGCTCTTCAGAGGCCAGAAGTGTTAAAATTGTACCCTTCCTCACCAGCCTTCCAAAAAGGCGTGTATAGGTTCGCACACATTCTAGCACCTAAATGAAGAAAGCAGCCTAACAAGTGACCTCACAGCTCTCCCCCAAATGCAAACCGCTCAGTGCAGGGAAGGTAACACAAAGATTCTGTTCTCGTACGTGTGAGATACCAACAAACATTTTAAATGCTTTTTGAAGACAGACGGGGCGAGGGTGCTGCTGCAGCCCCTGCTCGGGATGGTTAGGCACAGCGTACGACGAATAAAGAGCAGGAATAACCGTACGAATACGGGCACCCAACGCCAGCGCCGAGAGCCGCCTCGCACGGCACCGCAGCGAAGTTTGAGCGCTGCCAGCCCACCTCGCGCTACAATGCAACAAAATCACATTACAAAAAGGCTCCGCTACCAACTCCGCGGCAAACAGAGCATCATTCCCCTCGTGCTCGCACAGCCCCTCTCCTCCGCCGTTCAGGGCGGCTCGCACCACGTTTACACCGAAAGCCCGAAGGCCCGTTCTCAGCGCCGCCCGCCCCGCGCGCTGTGCCACAAGACCCGGCTGCGCTCCGCCGCTTCGCTCCGACCTCTCTCCTCCCTCCGGACGCCGCATCTCCCCGCTCTCCCACTCGCGAGGACTTTTTTCGCCGCCGTTCGCACGACGCTCCGTTTCTGCGCTTCGTTCCCTCCCCGAGAGGGAAACTTCTCACCGATCGCTCCCTCTGCCCTCAGCTCCCCCGGCGCCTTGGCCTCGCACCCCACCCTGACCGCCCCCGGCCGCCCCCCCCGGCCCGCCGCCGCCGCCGCCGCCCCCCCTCGGTTCCCTCTCCCCTCCCCCCCACCGCCCCCCGGCACCTCCCGAGCGGAGCGGAGCGGCCCGCAGGGCGCACAAAGCCGCTCCCCGCGCCGTGCCCTCCCGCCGGCCGCCCCCCTCGGCCGCTGTCCCCACCCGACACCCGCCGTCCCGGTGCCCCTCGGCTCGGAGAGCGGTCGCCCGGCCGCCCCCGGCAGCGAGGACCCCCCTCGCTCACTCACCCGCCCGCCCGCAGCCCCTCGCCGCCCGCCGCTGCCTCCTCCCCGCTGAGGCTCCTCAGGAGACACTGACACCGGCGCACGGATACCCGCTGGGCGCTATTTTTGGGAAACAAGGCCCGAGCGCGGCCGGAACTACTTCCTCTGTCACTCGCTGCTGAAGAGGCGCAGCGCAGCCGGCGCCGGAGATATCCTTCCGCCGTCTCCTCAGGGCGGGCTGACGCGTTCAGCCCAGCCAGGCCGCGGCGGGACGAGGAAAGCAGCGCAGGAGATGGCGAGGTGAGCCCGCTACCGGTAGCGGGGCGGGGAACGCCCCAGTTTTAGCGCCCGGCATCGCCGGATTATTTTGTTTTACCACGGGGAGCGGCCTGGTCTACATTCTTCACCGGAGACCCAATGGCGCGGCGCCGCCCGCCGATAGGGCAGAGCGCCGGAGTGAAGGGCGAGCAGCACCAATCGCAGCGCACGGAGGAAACGGCAGTGCCCGCCCATCAGCACGTAGTGGGGAGGCGGGGCGTAACGAAACGTGGAAGCTTTGAGTGACTGGAGGGCGATCAATCGGAGACAGGGAGGAGGAACAGACAGCCAATCAAAGCGCAGCTGAGGCGGGCCTAGCGGAAAGGAAACCCTGAGCCACGCCTCTCCGTCCCGGCAGCGGGGAGCGGCGCATGCGCCCAAAGGCTCGCTGGGTCGGGCCGCGAGTGACGCACGTAGCCCGGCCCGCCCCCTACCATCGGAAGGCGCATGCGTAGAGGCGCCTCCCGCTAGGGCAGGGCCGCGGCCCCGCGGCGACGTGCCCGGGGTTGCCGAGGTAACGGCTGCGGCGGGGCCTGGGGCCCTGAGCTCCGCCCCGCGCTCAGACGCAGGGCGGGCCGCCTCGTCGCAGCCTGCAGCCCCCCGGCCAGCTTCAGGAGCAGCGGCTGCGGCCCCGCAGAGCCGCTTCAAGACGGCTTTGGGCCCTCGTGCGTTCCTCAGCTGTCTTTCTCACCCTCTCCGTGCTCAGCCATACTTGCCATTAATTCTGCTTTAAAGAGTAAAGAGCAGCTGCAAAAAAAAGACCACAAAACTGGCGTCTTCCCCCCACAACAGAAGGCAGCAGCTGGCCGCCCCAAAGTAAAATTCTCCCATTAAGAAGTTCCTTGCCAAACACAGAGCACAGAATGCAGAGCTGACACCGCAGCGCCCAGCTCTGCTCTGGGACACGGCAGCCACTGGAAAACAGTCTCACTGCTGGGCGGCAGAAAATGAGGGCCCGAGATGGTTAGAAAGTGACACAACAGCATCTCCACTGCTCACCGCACCGCTGGATGGGAACACGTTGAGTCTCCGAGAGCATTCCCCAAAAATTTGCAATTATTTGCAATTCTTTCTTTTTTCTTTTTTTTTTTTTTTTTGCAGTTATTGAGCTCAACTGGAAGCGGTAACGCACCGCTCCCAGCCATTGTGAAGAGATTAAACTTTGTACTGTAAGCTTCGATTGGAATTTATCTATCTCCTAAAGTGAGGGCATCCACCTTTACTTCAGAGCAGCATGCAGGTTCTTCCATAGATGTAGGAAATAACGAGCAGGAGGTGGGAGAGAAAGAAATGACAAAATACAGATCTTCGCCACCCACTGTCATATTTCCAAGCTGATTACTACTGACCTGCAATAAGTTAGAGAGGAAAATACCACTTTCTTACATTTCTGAACACCAACAGTCCTAAAGGCATTGATTTTTATATGAACGTAGCTTATGCTCTTGTTCCTCACTCCATCTTCCATAATACCTACAAAAATTAATACTATGCAATCAGTTCTTGAGCACAACAGGCTGAGAATACATTGGATAGAATCCTGAATTCTTAAGTTTTAAAGTCAGTAGGAGTCTGAATAACCAAGCCCTGAAGCAAGGACTTCTGGTTATGCTCATTAATTATTTTCACTATGTAATCATATTATTCTAAGCTGGCAAAAATAAAGCAGGAAGCCAAAGAGATAAATAATTGCTCCATTTCAGTGGCACTAGAAAAATAAGCATAGCATGTGTTGCTCAAGAGATTTGTATATATGCCTTGCAAACAATAGTTAAGGAGAGCAGAGCAGTGTCTTTCATACTGAAATGCATTGCTCTCTCAATTGAAATGCCACCTATGTAATAATTGGGAAAAGGAAGTGCAAAATGTGGCATCCAATTGAAATTATTGATATTGTTTTCCATACACGATTTACTGCTACTTCTGCTTCGACAAGCCCCTCTTGGGACAGCGAGTGAAAAAGAATGGGTGGGAGGTAGGTCACAGATGTTCTCACATGTCAGAACAGCACAAATGAAAAACATCACTCCTCAGGGTGGACACAAATAAAACCACATAAGGATTTCTATATTAAAATGACTGAAATCACTCCGTGGTGCGACGGCCCTGCTCTGGGTTAGGTTTCATTTCCAGCACAACTGCAAAGGCAAAATGCACCTGGATAATCCAAAGGATGCAAAGCAGTCAGTGACTAAAGCAAATCCACACTACAGGGGAAAAAGAAAAAAGAAAAAAAAAAGATCATCTTTATAAGACCAATTAATTTATGGCCAAAGAAGCAGCAACATAAAAAAGCCCCAGAGAATATCACACTTGTGTGCCAATATGACAACAGAGAAATGATCACAAGGATCTGCTAGGATCATTCTTGAGAAATAAAAAAGCAACTGCTGAAGAACCCCATCTGAAATCTCTTTCCCTGTCCAAACAACAGGCCAGTGTAATTTCCTTGATGTCCTACACGGAGAAGGAAACCCAGAAAACAGAAAATAAAGAAAACGATAAGGAGAAAAATGATTTTAAAGAGACAACAGCAGTCGTAACTTTGACTGTTCAACTGCGAGGCTCTTTAGTTGTCATCCAGCAATAAGGCTTTTCTGTGCATTTCTATTCCAGTGCTTTTCCACCCACCCACTCAAAGCGTTTTAGAGACAGCAGCACCAAAATCATGTCTGCTCTTTTAACTTACGTTCTCAGACCTTCTGACAAAGCACTCCAGAGAGAAGTACCATAGCTGCTCCCCACCCTTCCTTTCAAATATTTCTTATATTCCAGAAAACAGCTTTTTCATCTCATGCTTCTAAAAGTGAACTTTGCATTAAAAAATAACCCAGGATTTTTTAAGATTGGGGATGAGGAGTAGGGAGTGTTATATGGCTTCAGCGTATTTGTTAAACAAGTTATCCTTCACCGGGAAGAAGGGTCTAAGAACAAGCTTTTAAGAATAAGGTTTCTTAAAATCACAGGCTAGATTAATTCCTAGCATTGTTTCACTTGCAATGGTGGAAGTAGTCTATGAATGAAGATTTTTTAAAGGACTACTTGTTGCAACAAAACCAAATTGTACTTGTAGCATTTCAGGATGGGAACTTTCATGAGGAATAAAGGATATGAGAAGGGGAGCTCCTACCTATGGAGCAGGAAGCCACAGAGGAGGAGATAATGCTTGGGCAACCCTATTAACCCCTAACGTCCAGCCCAATGCAGACGCAGATTTGCACTTGGCCAAAGCTGGCTTGTGACCTCTCTGTCTGTAGTTGGGAGTACTGCTCATACACTACTATTTGGCTCTGGTGTTCCACCAAAGACAGCTAAAATAAGGAAATCTTAACCTGATTATATCTAAATCCAAATTGCCTGACAGTGCATGAATTACATTCGCTCAATCCACATCATCAACCGCCTCCTGTAAGCCGCTAATATTTCCACACTGTGGTACGGTACATTCACTAATCCGATTGCCTTGGGAATATTTGTTTTTCCAGAACTTGTGGCCAAGGTACATAAGATTAGATCGGATGCAGCTTGTCTAAGAATGCTGTAATGTGGGTGCACAGTATATCTGCTAGTTTTGAGTTACAGGTAGAAGTTCTCTTTCTCTCTTTCAGACTTTTCCAGCCCCAGGCTCAGGCTGTGCTATCTGAAGCTTCTTGCAGCATTTGGTTCTTCTCGTTTTGTGTTGCTGCTGGCCTTCTGATGCCAGAGATCACCACAGGAAATATTTGTATGGCATGTCTCGCTTGCTGCATGACTGATCCGTACCTCAGCAAAACTTGGGATATTTTCTAGGTCTTCACAATGACAGAAGACAAGTCTCTGTGGGATTCACACCCTTCTGCTGGGGTTTTCTCACCATTCTCCATGCTAACATGAACCAACAGCTGGGTTTAAGAGATCTGTTATAAATAGTAACATCGTGCTGCTAGCAAGCTTCTTGGAAAGTAAAGAAAATACGTTATTTAATGCACTCTGACATTTGCTTTTCCTCCCCTATTCCTGAGCTGCATTTCTGTAAACATCCGTAACAACAAATGCACAGAAGTTGACTTCTTCACGTAGACATAACAAGTGCTGCCTTGAGCCCAGGAGATGATACCCAGAACAGCTTACCTCCCTACAGCCAGACAGCTGGCAAACTCTCACAGTAGGAAAAGGAGTCAGAACGTGGATGGAAATTCCTGATTCCAGCAGCGGCCAAGATTACAACCTTTGGCATTTGATTTTCATGGCTGCTCTACGTTGCTGCAGAAACTTCCTCCTTTTGCCATATCTTTCCATTCATTAAAATTGCAGCTTGCAATTAAACATTCTGACATAACATAGCTGAGATTTTTTGGCAGCAGCCTTAACCAGAGGTTTTCAGAGTTTCCTGCAGACAGCTTTAAATTTTCATATCCTCATGAATGCTTGCCACCTTCTTTTAATGACCTGAAAAAATAACCTTCTTCTCTTAGGAACTTCATTGTTGCCGTATTTCCCCAGCACTCATTTACTGCTTCTAGAAATATGTCATGCACATGTATATTTATAGAGGGAGCACAGTGTACATATGCACCGTGTAGTTTGACATCTTATAGAGAACACACAGATTGCATAGGAGATCTAAAGAAATATTCTTACATTCAATACTTTCTTTATTAAAAGGCATTTCTCCCTTCCCATGGTATTGTATCATTTCACTTATTTAAGAAATATTTACTACGTTATTCAAAAACTTCAGCCCTTGATCTGTTATTAATTTCGTAGCCTTACAGATTCTGACTTTCATATAAGGCAACACTGAACTATTATTTCTATGCCATAAAATATTTCTTAGGATAGAATTTGACCTTTTTGCAAAGAGCTGGAAGTCTCAAGGATTTTCAAGTTATCTGCATTCTTAAGGTGCAGAATATATTTTATCTGTTGGAAGCATGTTCAGAAAGCACTCATCTCTAATACAGACTTGAAATTGATTTTAAAAAGGGTCTTTCTAATGTTCAAACTGGCCCTAATCTCTTTTTTCTTCTAACATTACCTGGCAAATAAATTCTTAAAGGGATATTATCAATTTAAGAACTATGCTTTACTCTGGAAAATTCTCCAAGAGATTAAAGAGAAGACATCCTTTTTCCTGTAAGTTTAATTTCTATATTCGACTGCAGTATGTGTGGTCAGTATCTCATGCTGTTAGGAAACAAAAGAGACAGAAATAGAGATAGGAGACCATAATACCTAAAAAGTCTTTAAACTGCTCTTTAAAGTAGATTTGAAGTTGGTGGGACCTCTTCAGGTGACAAACGACTTGTGGAACTCTTGAAAGCCAGATAAGTTCTGCCTCATGCAGAGCATCCTCGGCTCCCACTGCAGACAGCTGCAGCTCTTAGCATGGCAATTTAAGCGTTATTTTTCCTAGATTTGATCTGTTTTTCTGGAAACTCCATCGATCAAATCGCACACGAGACATATGCTACTGCCCTGGTCTTGTAAACTTCCCACACAGAGTCCAGAAAAGGTCTGCACGATCTGTTATAACGTGCAACATATAGGAAAGAAACCTTCATAGCAGTTAACTTCTGAAATAAAGTTTAATCTTTAAACTTGGGCAGTATACAAGGTACGTTTTTGGCATTTTATGATGGCATCCAGACTCCAAAGTACAAACGTAGCTGTGGTTTATTTTCAGTCAGTTTCTCTGGGATTACACTTGGGATGATTGATCTGTGTCCCACAGGATTTATAGAAGCCATCAACCTCCCTTCTTGCTCAGGCACTTTATCAGGTAAAGGCAAAGATGCCATTTGTTTTATCCTGGGAGGTTTGCTCTAATTCGGAAAACAAGACTTAAAAAAAAAAAAAACCACCTGTGTTAACATGAATCAGCTGGTGTGCATTTCTGAGTTTTGTATCAGAGCAAACAGCATCAGGCATTTATTAATGGACATGTTGTCCTCTGGGTTGTGATACGGAATTATTTCATCTCCCAGAACTTCACTGAGAATACACTCAATTCTAATTATTAAAAGCAGCAGCATATTTGCTGTGATTTCTTAGTATGCTTTCATTTGTTTGCCAGTCTAGAAGACAGCTCACCTGCTCTCTCTGGTTACTTGGTGATAAACTATTTCACAGAGCCTTCCTGTGGCATCTAGGGCAAGTGTTTTGAAACACAGCTCCAGTACACGCATAAATGTGTCATCTTGTGCTAAAATGCCACTTCAGTGCCAAGCCAAGCCAGCTGGCTTTGGACAGAAAGTTCTTTTCTGCTTACGTGTACAAACTTTATCACTTTCCTGTCCTTTTTCTCTTGCTGTCACAGTACTGCAGAGGTGGTGGCGGCTGATGGCAGAGTGAGAAGCGGTGTTCAAAATGTGTCCACGTTAGTCGAGATAATAAAGCCTGGTCCTGCAGCCATGTGTTGAATCCATCTGCCTGAAAAAGCATCTCACATAATTTAATCAAATATCTTCCCTTGTATTATGTGGAAGCAGGGAAAGATGAACTGGAGTTTCAGTTACTAAATAAAAAGAAAGAAAAAAAAGCATCCAAAGTTTTGATGCCTGGTATGTTGTTTCCTTGGCCCCAGTCATAGTTTGAGAGGGTCCAGACTCCTCCTAGGTTTGGAACTCTTCTATCTTTAGCTTCAGTTTAGCAAATCCTAGTTGAAAATAAGCAAACATATTCTTAGCTTTCCCACAGAGTAGAGTAAGAAAACAGGTCTTACCTGAGAGGAAAGGTGAAAGTCTGGGGCTGCTGGTTTTCTTTTATTATTGGCGGTCTTGTTTTGTTCGTTTTCATCGTTTTTTAAGAAAGATGCAAGCATCTCAAAGATGGACTGTGAAATGAAGGGCGTTCAAACTTCTCACTGTGGAATAACACTGTACAAAGCCCATGGAAAAGTTCCTACTAATTCTAAGATTTGACCTGAAAATGGCAGTACCTAAAACAAAACATAAAAAGTGCAATGGCTATAGTTTAGCTGGTGTACTGGTTACAAGCAGTTAAAATATGATTTCACACAATTTACCCCAGCTGAACCATCCCAAGCTAGGTTAAAACTATTACTCCCATGGAAGACAGGTTCTGAATTTACCATGCCTTAGCCATCCCTTACCCCGAGGACAGCCTACCTCACATCGCCTGGTATTTCATGCAAATAAGCACATGCAAAAAGCTGACGCAAAGGCTTGTTATCCCCTCACTAATTGCTGTCCATGTGTACATAGACACAGCCTTGCTTGTGCCAAGCAAATTTTAAGTGATACTTTCAGGGTCTGAATACATGAATGAGTGATCTCATTCACGTACTGACATGCTTGACAACTTACCATGCATCGCCTGAGCCACGGTAATGGTCCATGTGTGTTTGCTCTTCGCCTGTGGCCATCTCAGATGGAAGAAACCAGTTTCAACTTCTCTTTTTCTTGCCCCTGAGGTTAAGCTGACACACTGAGCCTCACGTCTGCTGCAGGCTAGAGAAAGGCACACTGCAGTTACCATGGCTCAGCTGAGGTACAGTAACTCGTTTAAGTTGCTGGAGCTGGACAGCATGCCTGAGCTGCTGGTTAAAATAGGATAATTGAGGGCATAAATCAGGTGTTAGCTCAGCTCAGTGCAAGTCAATTAGGGATGGATTCAAGCTAAATTGACACAAATCACTCTTAGTCCAAAATAAAAGTGGCTACCCCACACTAGCTTAACTAAATCCAGGACAGCTTAGTCTAACAAAAATGGAAAGACTTTCAACCAGCCATAAAGAGCCAAAAATGTTATACCCAATGCTGAGCGTTGCCTAGGGCATGTGCATTCACTTCAAGCAACAAATACAGTTTGACATACAAACAAAGAAAGTGAGCCAAATTCACAGCTATCTCAGCAGACAATGTAGAGAGAGGACCAGAGGCTGTGAATGCAGCAATACCTTCTCTGGCTCTGCTAGCAAATTTAGTTTTCTCTACAGTATTTCACTGTAAACAGTTCAAAGAATGAGTACAAAATGCTGCTTTATCTCAGGAATTTGCACTCCACCATCGTTTAGCAACAAATATGGAACGATGCTGACATGGGCCTGGTAAAGGTTGATTGTAAACAAATATAAAACAGCTGAGCTTGTTTGCATTCTTTGAGATTGACGAAAAGTATTAAGGAACGGAGAATGATATACATACTGAAAAGTAAATCCAAGTTCCATACATCTTAATGATCTGAAGTGCTTTCAAGATCATTGAAGTTCAATCTTGCAGAATAACCCCTAATGAATAAAAAGCAAATAAAGCTTGATTTTCTCAAATGGCTTCACCCTTCATCTCTAGGAACTGTTAATGAAATTAGGGATGCGTAGTTGAGATTAATCATCAAGTGGCCATTTCTAAAATCCCTTACCAATGGGAGACTGACATGTGTGAAGCAATTTGGTCCCCGTTTGGTTTCCGTTTCCTGGCTGAGTTAATTCTTTGAAGAAATTCTTCCAGAGAAAATATCCGTGGGAAACTATTCTGAATTCTTGGTGTTGTGCGAGACTTTGGAAGATCAGCATCCCACTAGGGAGGTTACAAGATGTATACGCACAATAAAATGATAGTCTTGCCCCTGCAACATACCACACAGTCCTAGCAGCAAGCTGTGCTTCAAATATATTCCTGTAAGGCTGTTGAGAACCAGTAAGGATTCATTCTTCTGCAGCCTGTGGGAAAAAATGGTCCTTTCCCATGGTGGTTACTTGGCTCCTCCATCCAAGGTAGAGACACAGCAGAAGTCCCACAGCATAGAGGACAGTGTAAGCACCCTTTGCTGTGCCATACGTTTGGTTTGTTGCTTTTTTTCCTCACTCCAAGCAGCTCTGTGCACACACTGCACCGCCACAGCAGGCCACACGATCCGAACACAGGGAAAACAGAAGTGTGTTATTATTGGGATAATTGAGTGTTGGAAAGAGAGTCGCCTCCAGCACTTCGTCCAGATTAAAATCTCACCAGTACCATTATCTGGGAAGAATCTGCAGTGACACGTGCATGCTACGCATCTCAGTCAGCAATCCGGCCTACAGTGCTTACAGAAGCTTTAGCAATTCCTTTAATGACCCTTACAAGTCCTCCACTTATTCAAAAGCTGAAATGCTAGTCTATGTGGGACAAACTTCTAAACCAGCAGATTGAAGTACTCCATGTAAATCGAGCAATTTCTGTTAACACATGTCGACTAAACCAGAGCTGCCAATCAGCCAAGCTGCTGCTCTGCAACAACAAACATCTGAGGTACTGGAGCTTGAACTTAATCAACGTGATTTATTTTATCATGCAGAACTAAACCATCAGCCACTGCTCTTACAGACATGGTTTTCAGCTACCCCTCTGCCAGAGCATATATGCTTTCTTCAAAGGAAACGCTATGTACTTAGCCCTCATGTTAACCTTAAAATGCAACCATTAGAATTGATGTTTTTTCAGCCTCTAGCACCAAATTATGCTTGCAAGCATCCTTTTCAGGGATCGCTGAAGGAAGAAAACCTAAACCATAGCTATTGTTAATCCAAGATCACGTCTTCTGTTTGTATCAACACGCAGTAACCAAGACCACAGGAGCTGTAGCTAACACTGTTTTCCTGTCATCATGGGTGGTGGTGATCTGAAAGGTTCCTTTAAAGGATTATTACCTAAAAGGTGGAAGAGGAACTAATTTTAACGTGTATACCATAAGAGCCAGAACTGAGGGATGTATCAGGAACAGCAATCAGCAACAGCAAGCAAAGCCAAGCCATTTCCCCACCACTATTTCTATAGCCTCAGTGAGACATTTCTTTTTTCTGGTACATATTTTTGCTCCCCCATCATCAAGAATGAAATTATGGCTGTTGTAAATGCATTGCTGTAAATTTGGACCGGTTCCACTGACTGCTGATACTCATCGCCTCCAAGCGCCCTGGGGACGCATGTTTCGCTGCATACTCTGTGCGACTTCCTCAGCAATGCAGAGCTGATCCTCTCCTCCATGCCAGCTTGTTGTGAGCCATGTGATGGTGTTATAGTTCCAGCTTCCTTCGGTGTCCTGAAGACTTTGGCTCAAGCCTTGCTTATCTGCTGTCAGAAGGTTCCAAGATAAGAAACACATTTACTCTTGGTGCTTTCTCTTCACATTGCTACACTTACTCTTTCTTTTAATGCCTTGCTCTCATCGTGAGGCAGGAGTATATGCTGTCCTGTGCTCATGGAAAACAATTTATATGCTGTCCCAAAGATATGCACCAATTTTGAGCTTGTTTCCACTGATCTGACTTTATAGACCACAGCTTTAGGCGCATCCAATGACTCCCTTTTCTCTTTCATTGTTTTGGTTCATTAGTTTTAGCACTGCTGACATAAACAGTGCATTTCAAAAGGCATCTTTCCTGTGGGCTCTGTTTACTCGTTAATGTGGCTAAGTGTCAGCTGAAGTCCTGGGTGACAGCTTGCTTTGCTTTAGATTGTGGCATTCCCATATGTGATTTATTGTATCTGAAGGGAAGTACGGTTACATCTGTAGGAAAGAGAAGAAGAGTCATGGGAAAAGGGGAGCTGTAAGAAGCCTGGCTGTGAGGGCCACTGTGGAACTTGACATTTAGGTTCCTGCACAAGATGTAATTTCCAGCTGAATAGCTCCGGCACTTACACAGCTTCACTTTGGCCCCAGCTGTGCAGTAAGTGCTACTGACATCTATCTTAAAAGCTGCTCACAACAACCTGACTTGATGTGGTTGTTTTGTTTTCAGAAAAAGGGGAAAAGATGCTTCAGTAAAGTAGTCCACGTGAGCCGGGCTGGAATATTTTGTCCAGGCCACTCAGAAGGGAACCAACATAGCTGGGAAAATGGCAGATGACTGACAGCTTGCAAATAAAGTTCTGCTGGAAACATTGCACACTGAGTTGGTGCCCGTGTAGCTTTTGATACTGAATTATTGGTACAGTCCCAGTTCTTTCCAATGAGTCACGTTTACCTCAGTTCAGGATTAATCAACATGTCATTCAGATGTATTCTCAGACAATAAGCACTATGATATGGATGTCAAACTATTTTAGGTCAGACTGTTTTCTATTTTTAGCTCAACTATTCCACAGTAAGACTAATGTCTCAAATTCAGAAAAGGCAAGTGTCAGAAGATACGAGCAAAATCCTGACTGCATGGAGGATCAGGGACAGTTGTGCCTTTGGCCAGCACAGGATTTCACCTGAGGGGTCTGCTTCGGTTGCAGCTTCTTCCTGTTCCAAGTGCCATTCTGCCCCCAGGAGCTGAGATAGATACTGGAATTCCTGCTTTTACAATGCTTTAATGTTGCATAAATAGTGCAGATGAGGGGGGAACACTTGCCTTGAGTGAAAGGTAAAGTCAGTCACCAATTGATTGCACCAGGACACCACCTAAGACACCACATGCTGCATTCTCATCTTTTGTTATGGATCTTTAATACCAGTATCTGTCATTCTAAGGTAATCAAGACTGATCGAGGTGCATGTGCTGACCATACAAAGACATCTGCATTCTTGTATTACACACAGCATGTGCACATATGCACGTAAATATATATGCAAAGTGCTTTCTTCCTTAATATTTAACACATAGTGGAATTTCTTAAATGAAGCGTTCTTCAAAATGAAGAGAACGAGATATTTTAGAAGGAAAAAGACAGCAAAGATATCTATCCAAAATGGAGGCAGCCTTCCTTCTTACTCACAAGTTGGATGGCACAAACACATACCTTCTTATGGACCTCTCAGGCTCAGAATTCCATCTGGGTAGTCAGGTGTCACAGTCAGCTCCTGCAGAAACTCACAGAGCCAGTAAAGATTGAATTGAAACCCTCTCTGTTCACAGTCACTGCCATCCAAAACAGAAAAGAAACCCTGGGTATGCCTGCAACAGAGATAGCCAACTGGAGGCCCACAGAATTTGGATCAAGGCCATGAAGCAGTTTTCTTTGGCCACTGAGACGCAGGCTGGCTCTCAGGCTAAACCACACGGTGCTGCTCTTTGTGCTTGTACAGGGAGCACAGTAAGTTGTATTTGCCTGAACTTCATGTGGGCAGCAAACCCACTCCAGATCCTGATACTCTCATCGCTAAAATGGATTTCCAAATCCCACGCACGTTGGCTACCCTTGTCTACGTGTTTTTCTGCACACAGACGAAAACTCGCTTCACCCACGGCCTGAGCTGGCCACAGCCCCGAGCCCAGGCTAATATCCTGCCTCTCAGCAGGCCACAGTAATTTGGGCATGCAGCACTCAAGCTGCAGCTACATGGCTCCTGGTTCTTTTGGACAACAGCCAGAGTAAGCTCCTATCTGCCTTCAAAAGTCCATGTAGACATCGCTTATGTAGCTGGTAGTCAGAAGACCTATGACAGGAATGGAAAAATACTGCTCCTGCACAGTGTCGCCTGTGCTTTGTCATCTCTCACTGCCTTTTCCAAGTCCTGGGGATCTTTAATTCTGACCAAGATTGCAGAGTCTAACTCGTCAACGCCTAAAAGTCAGCAACTTCTGCCCTCGCCACCGTATGCCAGACATACAAGTGTCCACACCATGGATCACAAAGAATCCGCCTGTTTGAGATTCACTCCTTCTCAAAACCCCGCCTCGTTCTCGTAGTAGTTTGCTAATCTCCAGGCCATCATTCCTCTTTAAACTGCCCCACTGATTTAGTAGCATCTTTAAAAAGAACATTAAAATTATTCCTCTTCTGCGGCACTGCTGTGGTTCATTAATTATTTCACATTACCAACATAAAACTTGTAAAGCGAGAGAAAATTGCAACGCACTTGCAGTTGCAATCACACGTTCTGATCCCAGAGTCAGGGACTGGCTGTGCTCTGCCTTTATGGCCCCTGCCCTCGCTGCACACTGCATCAATGTGCTGAGAGTCATCTGCTGCTTTGAAAATAATTAGAACACCACACTCTGTATTAGAGCTCTTTACGCTTAGCCCATAAGAAATACCTTTTGAGCTGTAGTAATACGAGCACAAATGAGCTTTTAGGGCCATTTTGGATTCTTTTGAGACCTCTTCTTTCTCTGTCAGAAGAAAAAAGAACTACATGGCACTCCGATCCCTTTCTCCACCCGGGCAGAGAGCCCTCCTGCATACGCAGTAATAAGATACATTTTCTTTTAGAAATCTGCAGATACTGCAGAACAAATGATGGCTCTCCTTATCCTGTTACACACTATGAGCTGGACAGGAGATAAATATCAGCACGGAACAACACCCCCATTGGCTGTACTCAACTTTAATCCGCAGTGGAGATCTGACTGGCAGCTCTCCCAGGTGGCATGCTGCAAAGGATCGTGTGTGCCTCACTGGGGGCAGCAGTGCTGAGAGCCACAGCCTCCACCCTGCTGCCAAGTGAATGCTAACAGGCATTCATCAGGACCTTGGTGCACAGCCCAGCTTTGGAGCTGACCTTCTGCTCCTCATCCAGGCCATGCTCCAGGGGATCCTCCTCTCCAGCTCTGCAGGGACCCTCTGCACTAACACCAGGCATTCAGGCTCACCTTTGTCTCTTGTTTCTTTCCATGGTCTCCAGTTCTACCCTCTTAGATCTCACTCTCTAAGTGGGGAGCCTGCACAGTAAAGCTGATTATCAATTCACAGTTCCTCAGTCTTAGCAGAAAAGGAGCAGCAGAGTGATGTTCTTTCCAGTGAGTCAGTGCTTCTTTGCTGGAGGATGTTGACTCACCAGTCCCCACAAGGGCTGCCTCTCTCCCCCAGCACTGTACCTCACCTCCAGCCTCTCCTATTCCCATCTCTCCTTTAAGAAAACATTCTTTTCCCATAGTCCTTCCTGCTTTTACTGTCTTTGCTATAACAAGCTTGGGGACTGAGAAAACTTGATGGCATTCCTGCTTTTACATAAGAAATAAAAATGCTTTCCACTGTCTCCCCTCAGGTATACATCTGCCTGCCCCTCTGGACACGCACAAAGCTGTGTAGTCACAAACCTGTCTGCAGAGTGACTTTCACGTGAGGACTCTCCTCACTTTAACATTTTAATTCTGAGCCACAGGTAAGATCCCAGTGTTCTTCACCCCTCCGGCCCGTTAAGATTTCTCAGGGGTCTGTCTACCAAGAACCCACTCCGCTAACTACTGCAGCATGCATTAATGAAAAGCACTAACTGCTGATTGAACCAAAGAATCAATGAGCCAGCGTTAGAAATCAAGGAACAGAGTACTTTTCATCAACTCCAGTGCAGCGGTGTTCACTTCTTGCTTCCTGACTTTTACAGAGGCCTAGTTAGCTAAAAAACAAAACCACAGCACATCTGTATGACTGGGAGGTGAGACTCTGTAACTGCCTGAGCTGGATCGCTGGTGCCAGTTTCAACACAAGGCAGCAGCAGACAGGGCAGACCCTGCTGGTGGGGGATCTCTCACAGGGCAAAAGCCACAAGGTCAGCTCACACAACCCCAAACCTGGACAGAGGTTGCAAGGAGAGGGCATGACAAAGTCATCTGCTGGATCAGTGATCCAGAAAAAAACTCCTCAGCTTTTGAAACTGTCCCTACCCAAAGGAAATGCCAAGCTTGTAGCAGTTCTGCTTGCTTCTCTCCTGCACTGAAACTTTTTGCCTGGAGGAGATGGGGTGAGCTAGTTACAGAGCAGAACACATGACACATCTTTACCACAGTTTGAGTGAATGGAGTGCGCTCCTTGGGGCAATCCCTGCCTCTCCCTCAATCCTGTACTACACCACGGACACAAAATAAGGCACAGTATAAATAACAGCCCTGTCTCCCTGCTGCTCTAAAATGCAAGCAATTTAAAACAGCAGCCTTTCTTACAGGGAAGAGCAGAAAGCCAGAATTTTGAAGCCACTTTCTTCTCCCTTGTTAACAGTAAGCCCAGCCTTCTGCTCATAAATAATTCATATGGCCTCTTTTTCCTCAATTACACTGTAGTGTCAGATTCCACACTCTGCCTTCCCAGAATGACTTTCTGGCTCTTCTGGAGACAGCAAGGCTCACTTGGATGTCTGGAAGAGCCACAGACTCATTAGACTCAAGTATTCTTTCCATAACCCAGTTAAAAGATACAGAACACCTTTGTCTTGGAGTTTTGGTAATTATCCCTTGCTGAACTGCTGAGTGACAACATGTTTACAGTAAATCAGTTTTGCTTCAGCCCAGCATTTGTGGTGCAGATTTTAAATACACAGAAGGATGCAAAGATGAGCATAGCTCGTGAGCTAGAGCACACGTAGAGCTGAGAGGAATTTAGACAAGGAGTGAACTTGGGGACCTAGCAGAGAGACAGAAAATCATGGGGAATTCAGTTTGTCAGGTGAAAAAAAAGCACAGACAAAAGAAAACAACACTGCTTCCTCTCCTGCCTGCCATCTTTTCTGATTAATTTAAGCTCAGCTTGTTGAGGAACCAAGATTTCTGCTCTGCTATCAACAGCTTGCTGCCTATACATCCCAGCTCATTACAGAGAGGCTGTCTGCTCTTGTGCCTTAAAGTAAGCAGCCAGAAAACATTAGACAAGTATTGCATGTTGTAGATTGACAACACTTAAAACCTAGATGGCCAAGCTACTGATATAATTTCCATACTTGTTAACCAAGACATCTCCAGTTCTCCCCCACAGCATTCTGTCAGATTCAGCGGGACCAAGAACCTGTCTTAGCTGCCAGAAATCATTTTGTTACTCTTCCATGGATTGGCATCGCCTGAATATACTCTTACCCCTCAGAGCAGAAGTTTATAGAAATCTCCTTCCAATTTCCCAGCTGTGCATCCTGCCTTCCCTGCACTCACACACGGTCTATTAGCTGTCCAGAGCTATGCCTGTCTAGCTGGCAGGCTGCCTGTTCACAAGCTGCTCCAACAATTGCCCTTGAGCATAAGCCAATGCCAAGTCCCCTCTCAGGAGTTCATGCTCTGTGCTAGCACTAACATGATTGCATTGGATGGCTTCACCCTGCACGCTGCTGACAACGGCCTCTTAAAGACCCCAGGTTTGCTGATGGCAACAAGCTCCCAAGTATTTTTCAAGTTAATTTTTGCCAGGTTGGTTTGTCACAGCGTTCTCACAGACAAGTAATCTGTCAATGGCAGTCAGGATTGCAAACACAGTGTGACACAGGAATCTGGGACTTCTGTAATTTTTGTTATAAGAGACTATTTCACATACAATATAGGTGTGCTTGTTCTCCAGTGCTAGAGCTTAAAGCTGGATGCTGGTGGGCCAGGAAACATTCTGTGGGAATTCTGAAAGGGAAGCAGTTCACCTGGTGGGTATTGAAAGGATGAGCAATGGCATTTCCAAATAACCTTGCCTAAAAGCTAAGTAATTTTACCTGCTAACAAATCTTGCCTACGACTGGCAAGCAGTTTACCAGGCTCCTACAGGAAGACAAGATGAAAGCCAAAATATCAGAGGGTTTATGGCTGAAGTACCATTTGCTTTGTGAAAAGACAACGTGCAGTGACTGAGAAACAGAGGAAAGAAAGAAAAGTGAGTCTGTCTCTGGGTTTTGGGTATTCACCTGGAAAAGGGCGTAACTAAATTCTGGCCCTGACACTGCAAGCCTATAATTATTGCTACAAAGTACAACAGAGTCAACAGGAGGGGAAAAAAAAAAGTGCTTCCACCCACCTTGCATCTCTCAGGGGACAAATGGTGTCAGCCAGCACGGCCACAGCACACACACCACGCTATTGGGATGCCTGAGGTCAGACTCACACTGGCGCTGCCTCACAAGGCATGTTCCCTGGCATAAGAGCAGCTATGTATTAATGGCACACATCACGTACTATTGGTAACTGCAGGCTGTCCCACACACAGCCTCACTGCAGGTCAGATTACTTCTGCCGGTGTCAACGCGCTCTGCTGATGTTCAACAGGAAATAGCAGAAAAGATGCTAAATCTGGGAGAGCGGAAAGCAAAGCATGTCAGTACACATGCATCTCAACATTTCTGCTTAAAAGATGAAAAAGCTCCACATGGCTTCAGATAGAAGCTGCTCAAAGGAACAAAGAAGTCTCTCTGACGGGCTCGACCCCAGTCAGGAACAATGGGGCTCAGATTTACAACACAACCCAGGCTGAGTTCTTGCAGTTCCTGGAAAACATGAGTAGTGGACTGGTGCATTTTTTTATTTGCTATTATCTGCCATAGACATTCATCCTGATCTTAACATCTTTATTGTCCATATAGAGCGAGCTTCCTCTCAAACAGAAATGAATGTTCCACTAAGTTTCCTTAGACAAAAACAAAAATTAAGAAAAAAAAAGATCCCTTTATAATTTTTAAAAAATGCACACTTCATGTTGTGACTCAAAGTGCTCTTTGTTTCAGTAAGCATAAATCCTGAATTTTACAGAGAAAAAAAAAGCAAAAACGAGGGAAAGAAAACTTCTGTGATACATCGGTTAGATAACAACGGAGCCTTAGATCCAGACTGATTACAAAGAGAGGGAAGCAGTAGGTAAAGTAAAGTCAGAGCTGTTGGTGTGCCTGAAGGACAACAGCTGTTTGTTCTGAACCCCACAGTCAACACCAATAACTGTGCTGAAAGTTGCCACCATTTTTTAAAAAGCTCTCTATCGGGGACGTGAACACAAGAGCTTCTGCTTTGAAACGGCAGCAGAGTTCAGCAAGAAGACATGATTTGCTTCTTAGAAACAGCAAGACTATCGTTCTGCATGCTATCCACGTGATGCAGAAGACCTGTTTGCACTGGCCTTCAGTCCTTTCAGCTGAACTCATCACCAACTGGAAAAGGGAAAGCAGTGTTAGCATGAAGCCCTGTGCACGTCGCCCTGTGCTTCTCCCTGAAAGAGCCAGAGCAGTGTGAGGGTCAGGGCTGCGGCCCCTGCCTGGGCAGCAAGCACTTCTGAGCCTGCCATCCATCCCTCATCTTTAACCGAAGCTTAATAAATCATCTCTCCTGCAAAAATATTTTGTGACCTCTGGTGAGAGACGCGTTATAAATCTACATGAACATTTCCTTTTATTATCAGTAAATAGTCTTGGATTGTTTGAAATTGTTCCTGCCACTGATATCGCTGATCTCTGAAGAGATAAACATGAGCTGATGGATGACTTGTCTGCAGGATCTATTTCAGCCACCCCCAGGCAGGATATTTTCCATGCTGGTAATAATAAATCTTATTATTGAATGTCACCAAATGAAAGCAAATTATGGTAAAAATAGGCACAGTTATCTATTTCTTATTATGTAATACTAAAAATGATTTTCAAAGATTGGGGGGAAGCTTTCATTTCCATTGCAATTTTTTGTAATGCAATTCTTTTACCTACTTTGAATTTACCTTTTCCTTTAACAGCCTCATACAGTCAAGCAATGGGAAGAGGCTCCATCCCAGAATAGCCTCTCTTCTCTTCAGGCCTGGAAGGTAAGTTTCTTACCACATCCGAAATTGAATAAGAACAATGTCCATTCTCACAGCTACCCAGGCTGCCTTTGGGTAGCACTGTTAATGTGGCATTTTGAGGTATCAGTAACACTATCTTATACATTATTTTTGCAAAGGAAGCAAATGGCATCTTTTCTTGTCACTTAATAGAAAGGGTTTAAGGCGAGAGCTGTCACTCACTCTTATTGCTTCCAATTCCTTTCTGAAAATGATTGTAGCATTCCAGGGAGAAGTTCTACCTTCATAATGAGAACAGCGTTGAAAAATGCTCGTGCCACGTTATTAGTGACAAGCTCAGAACTAAAGATCTAAGTAACTTTCTAGGATCTGTTACATACAATCAAACCAAGGCTTTGTACCAGGATGGCTGTGCTGCAGAAGGACAATGTGCAAATCCACATCTCAAATGGAGGATGTAAGCTGTGAAATAAGATTACAGGCGCTCTACTTACTAAGTGCCATATTCCACCATTGTGTTACCTGCACAGTATTGGAAATCTTTGTCTCCAAATGCAGTGCACCAGACAGAGAATGCATGGAGACAGGAGAAAAGGGCTGGAGAGACAAACCAGTCTGAGGCAATATTTTCCTGGTAACTGTGTCCTCAGTCTGTGGAGGCCAGAGACATTTGGCCTGCTCAGCCTGGGGAGAGAAGCTACAGTGAAAGAATTAACTTGAGGGACAAGTTACAGCTTGGTAGATATGCCCTGTGTGATCTCCATGCAAAAGTTACTGCTCAACTCTGAGTGTAATTTGCACAGAGCCAAGATGGTGAGGAAGAAAAGAGAACAGATGTGAGAGCTGCGTAACTTGCAGGGAATTTATCAGCTCCCTCAGGGACTCAGTTGGATGCGGCAAGAAGTACAAATAACTGGGGAGAAGCTAAGCCATAGGAGAATAGACTGGTTCTGCCAAAACGCAACACAACCATGGATCTCATGAACAGAACAGCAATTCATTGTGTCATCATGACATTCATTTCATGCTACAGAGCTATATGAGATGGTTAACACAATAAAAAAAAAAACAAACAGCCTGGATAGAAATACAGTAGCTCTTGCAATTCCATTGGCCTCCAGACTACCATGGGAATCCTTCTTTTTCACAGCTGGAAGGCAGCCTGTTTCATTTAGATACGAACCTGAACATGCAGATCAAGCTGTCGATGCTTTCCAGCAGTGCTTTGGCATCCAATAGGTTTTCAGCATCATGAGTGTGTGTCAGGCTCCTTTGGAAGGGGACATTTTGTTTCTCAGACTTATTTGAACCTACACTATCATCAGAAACAGCACAGACTACACTGGCTGAACTTGGAGTCCCACAACTAAAGAAGAGCATCGCATACTGTAGTTCAACAGGAGGTACTAAATTAACTCCCTAAGGCTGATTCCCTCTGCCATTTTTTCCTTGACATTGTGCACCCGAATCTTAAGAGAGAGCCTTCATGTTTGTAAGACAGATGAGAGAAGCTTCACAAAACTCCCCACAGACCACAGAAAAGCTTCTGTTCTTTCAGAGCAGCAGAGCCAGCGTCGAAAACAGCTCAAGTGCTTTCAGATCTCAAGTTTTTGCTTGGACTCGAACATCACGGAATGCAAAACCAGATTCTTCAAAGTCTGCTCACTTGGTCACTGTTCTGTCACCTCACACACGACGAGAAAACCTACAGAAGTGCAGTAGGCACAGCCCAGTCACAGCTGTTCTCTGGCCACATGGGCACAGCAGTAGCACTGTGAAGTTACGTGGTGCTCAGTACCCATGGACGACTGCAAAGCCTTCACAAGGCTATGGAGCCTCAGACATATTCTGATCTAAACAGTCTTTGTCTAGAGAAGAGAAACTACCAAGCACTCGGCCATACCAAGTAGATGTAAAGCACACCCTAGCTCTGAACTCCAAAGCAAACCCAGCAAATATTTCTTCTTTAGCACATCTGGCTAACGCAAGCTGTAATAGCCTCTCCTACTACCTTGCCATCTACAAGAAGGGAAGAAATAAAAGAGTTGGGCTTATTAGTTTGTTATTCTCTGATCCCAGCTATTACAGGACAGGCACTGTGTTTATGATGGATTTATTCGGAGAACATTTTCTCCCTGCCCACATAACTGCGAATCAGACTGAAGCCAAAGCAGTGCTGGGGGTTAGAAAAGCTGCAGACATTTTGCAGTGCCACATGCAAGCTCAGTGCTGCAAAAACACACAAGAAGATGAACCAGCAACGAGATACTGGCTTAGCATGCAAAAAGTTACATCCCGTTCCTTACTGTACCGCAGTGTTCTCCTATAGCTTCAGCAAGTCCCACACTGTGAGGTAATGCTGTGAGAAGGGGGTAGAAAATTCAGGAACACACACACAATCTGCCATTTACTCTTCCAACAAGCAACTTCTGTGTTCTTGGAAGGGTTTATTTTAGCCTCAGCCTGCACCAAATGTGGCATTCCTGACCACTTCTGAGCAGCACTCCAGCATCACTGCTTTTCACGTACCATAAACCAAGGCTCCACATATCACTGTGGCCATTTCACCTGCACTTCAGCACACATCTGCCTTATCTCTCTCTATATATAGTCAAGACACTGTGCCCACGGGGACCAATTTATTTTTCCATCACCTGTAGCTTCCTTCATTTTATGTAGGAAGAAGCTAGCAAGTTCTAACAAGGAGTGTTATGAATAGTGTGGTAATGCCTCTTTTCATCCCCGTTAAGTTTCTTATAACATTTTGTGAAGTCAAAGCCCCTAGAACAACCTCCACTAATTATAATAGGATCCACTGCTGACCCCATGTATTTTAGCTGTAGCTTCACAGATTTGCTACATGTTACTGCCGTCTTCCCATATTGAGGTATTTATTCCACTGCCCTAGAGTTTGTTCCAGCAGCTGGAGGTGTAGAAGTCCTGACAATACACAGGAGAGGTTTCCTCAGTCAAAAGTTTCTCTGTGTTTCTGCGCACAGGAATCGTGGCTTCAGCCTCATCCCTATGTGTACATCATCCTCGTTCACCATCTGAGCATTCAGACAACTGCCAAATTGCAGGGGAAAAACACTGTGCACAGAGATAGGATCTGCTGTCTTCGGGTGGCTTGTGATTTGTATCCTGTGCTACAGAAGCCCATAAAAATAAGCCAACCCATCAATTTATGACTCAGGTCAGACCATTTTCATATAATTTGAAAGCACAGTAATTCTAAATTCTGCTGGATTCCTGCTGCTGTGTCACGAAGAAATATGTAACAGAATGAAACTCAGTGAATAGAGGTGAGGTTTCACCTTCACAAAGCCACAAATTCCACCAAGATGGCTCAAGTCACAGCTGCTGAGGATCTCTGAAGTATTCAGATACTTGGTGAGTGCTATGACAAATGTGCTCTGAAGTAAAAACAAGAGCCAAGCAAGCTTCCTCGATATTAACACTTCTCACATTGCTGTTATTTACCTTTCTAATATCTAACATGCATTTCACTCAGGCCTTCAGAAGGACAAGTGCTGCTGCCCAGCTTGGCACTGTCAATAACTGAGATCACTTCAAACAGTGACATTATGGACCTGGACCCTACATATGTTGCTTCACTGTGCCCTATTGAAAACCACAACTCACCAGAGGGCCATGAATGTGTTCCCATGTATTTTAAATGGCTTTGTAGCAAATCTATAAAACGGTGTTCATACAGGTTTCTTATTGCTAATGCATACCCTCAAGGGATTATCTAAGTGCTCTTGGTACAGACCCTCTGATAAGCCTTGGAAACAGCCAGCAGCACATCTACTGCTATCAGCAACACGTTATGAAAGGAATGTCATGGCAAAGTACTGCCTAGTCACAAGACAAAAACCACCCTAGTGTTTACAGCAGGGTAGGAAATACCATATTAAAATAAAAGCATGACAATGGACTTAGGGTAGAAAAAAAATCAAAGCCATTTCTAAGTTCCTGGTTCCTCTGTCACCAAATCAGTGCACCATAGAGAAGATCTGTTTGGAGCAAAAGCCTTTTTGTGAAGCCTTATCTTGGCCTTCAGCGGACAGAATCGACAACTCTGAAGTGGCAAAAACCACTTACCAAGTGCCACCTTCAGCGAACAAAGGAACACAACACCATGCACTGAACAGCAAACTATCAGCTCCCAGGGGGAAGTGTCATTTTCACATCAAGTCTGCTACATGAGAGTGGGAGAGAAGCTCCAACTGTTTTGAATTCATGTGTCAAGTCAATCGCAGGAACAGATAATATTGGAGTTATATAAAATTTCGGAAGGAACCCCCACCCACCACCTGCAACACTCACTCGCCACTGTCAGAACAGCTCTATAACTGAAGACAGCACTGAAGAGAAGTTGTCCTCACAGCTTTCTGCAAAGTAGATGATAGGATCATTATAATTTCATTTTACATA